CCCTTGCCCCCCTGCCCCGCCACTGGGGTAGTAAGCCCCCCGGCCCCCCTGGACACAGGCACTCAGCCCCCTGCCCCGCCACAGGGGCCGTAAGCCTCCTGTCTCCTTTTCCGAGTGCAGGCTCCAGGGGTCGGGCAGCGTTCCACAGATGCTCCTGTGACTGCAGCAGGCTTCCCGCTGACGTGCCTGGCCTGGGACAGAGCCAGGGAGCCACGGGGTCAGCGTGGGCTACGTACCAACCTGGCCATCTCGTCTGCAGGGCTGAGGCCTGTGTCGCCACCTCTTCCTGCTCGCCACCCTCCCTCCTTCCCCGTGCGCCAGTAAACTCCGCCCTAAACGAGACCAGCTCTAGCTTCCCTCCGCGGGGTCCGTGCAGTTCAGCCCCCAGCCCAGGGCAGCTCAACGCTCACGCCAGCCCCTTGGGGACAGGTCAGCCCCACACCTGGCCCACTTCTTACCAGCTGTGGCCGCAGGGCCACTGCAAGCCGGCAGCTGCACCTACCTGGAGAGCAGGGAGGCGGCTTTGCTGGTTGGGGATGACTTTTATTGAGACCGTGCCCTTGGCTTCTCTCTAGGGGCAAAGGGGAGAGAGAGGAGTTGGACAATGTGGTTCTGGACCAACCCAGAAAGCAGCCCGAGGCCTCAGCGTGTCATTAACCGGGCTAAGGGGAACCTACAGAGGGTGGCAAAACAAGAGGTACCCCCGGGGGGATTGGGCACCACGGCACACGCACCCAGCCACTCAGCCGAGCAGGTTTTTCTTTTTTTGCCCAGAAAAAAGCTTCTGCTGAAGTGCTGCTGCAGATCTGCCTTGTGCCCACCAGGGGGCGCAGCAGCGACAAAACACAGCAGCAGCTCCTAGCGAGGCAGGGAAGGCAAGAGCCTGCAGAGCCTTGTCACAGCGCCCGCTGGGCCGGGTCAGGAGCTAGGGGCCCGGGGACACACACCGGGCAGGGCTGCCGGGGGGCCCCAGGAGGAGAGACCGGGCAGGGCTGCCGGGGGGCTCCAGGGGGAGAGGCAGGGCAGGACTGCTGGGGGGCCCCGGGGACACACACTGGGCAGGGCTGCTGGGGGGCTCTGGGGGGAGAGACCGGGCAGGGCTGCTGGGGGGCT